TGTGATACTTTTTCTATGACTTATTTCACTTAGCATGATACTCTCCAGGTCCCTCCATGCTGTCTCAAAGGGTAAGAGATTCTTCTTTTTTTTCTGCTGCATAGTATTCCATGCTATAAATGTACCACAGCTGTTTTATCCACTCATCTACTGGTGGGCACCTGGGCTGTTTCTGGATCTTAACTATTGTAAATTGCTCTGCTATGAACATAGGGGTGCATACATTCTTTCTGGTTGGTGCTTTGGGTTTCTTAGGATATATTTCTAGAAGTGGGATCACTGAGTCAAATGGCAGTTCCATAGTTAATTTTTTGAGGAAATTCCATATTGTTTTTCATAATGGCTGCACCAGTCTGCATTCCCACCAGCAGTGTATTAGGGTTCCCTTTTCTCTACATCCTTGCCAGCACTTGTAGGAATCTACTTATATGGATACCATATCCTGGCTGTAATTCTAGAACTTGCTGTAGAGAGTTTAAGACTAGCTTTGGCAGTTTGATTAAACCACTGTGGCTCTTTTCTTTTCTTTTCTTTTCTTTTCTTTTCTTTTCTTTTCTTTCTTTCTTTCATTATTCTCAGTGTTATAGGCCACACAGAGGAAATAAAGGACTACAGATTACCAATTTTGAGGGTGATATTTAAGTATATGAAAACACAAATATTTAATTTTTTACTACCAGTGGGAAATTCTGAGGATGATTATTTCTTGTCATATATATGCCTTTTCTGTTGAGGTTTGTGTGGGATTCATTTATGGCATTCATAGGATTCAAATTCAAACCACAATAGAAAGAATCAATTTATCTGTCAAAACACAGCCTGGTCATCTCCTCTGGGAAGCCTCCCTTGATTTCTCCTGGGCTGAATATACTTGAAACTTTGTTATTATAATACCAGTAGTTCCCAAACTGCTGCAATTTGGATTCACCTGGTAATATTTTGTTTAAACACACACACACACACACACACACACACACACACACACACGCTTGGTTTCTACTCCCAGAAATTCTGGCCTAACAGGTCTGGATAAAATCTGTGCCTTAGGATGGTTGAAAACTCCCCAGATAGTTCTAATATATAGCCAAGTCTGGGAACTACTGTTATATTTGAATCGTTCATTTACTCTCTATTAGACCAAACTTGTCAAGGCTAAGGGATTATACCACGCACTGTCCATGGCATGTAACACAATGCTTGGCATGTTACAGTCACTCAGCAAAAATAAACCATTGAGGAGGCGAACATCCATTGTGCAGATACGGAAAGTTCATAGCGTCGCAGGTGAAATCACCACAGCCTTCATAAAAGTCCAGAGCCTTCACAATTGATGGCTTACAATAGGACATTTCCATTCATGGCAGCTATTCAGAAAAAGCCTTCTAGATTCATTCATTTATTATACATGGCTCTCATCCTTAGAAAAAGTCTTTTTCCAACCTTTGTGAAATGTTTTGGGACTTTTTTGAGGCCTCCCTTTTTTTGTGTACTTTGTCCCAAATTTCTTGGGTATTAAGTTGCCCGCAGTTCTGTCTCCTCTCTTTGGGAGGGTAAAATGCTGGACTCCCTTGAGTACATGTATTGAAGTGGCATATTTATGGAAATTACCACCCACTTTTGAAATTCAGGGCATAACTCTAACAGCTGAATCCAGCCCTAACAATTCTATTTACAACTCCCCTAGTCAAGCTAGATTAGCTGTTCTACATGAGTGAGTAAGACATTGAAACACCCCCCCACACACACACACACACAAACAAACACACACGCACTGCTTCCGTAGAGAACACAATGCAGGATTGGTCATAGTGGTGACCGCATGGCTCTGTCAGTGTTGGGGAAGCGCTAGGACAGAAGTGGAGGCACGCAAGTAGAAACCATCCAGAAGCGCTGAGAAGCATCCAGGGAAGGATTCTGTTACCAATTTCAGAAGGATTCTGACACAGCCTTTCTAGAAGTCATTTTCTCAACATGAATTGAAAACTAACAAAATAATTTTAAATAACCACCACTTTTGAGTGAATCATTCCGCTTCTGAGAATTTATCCTAAGGAAATAGAGATGTGCTGAGATTAGCTGCAAAGATATTCATCCTAATGGAATGTTTTGTGGGGAAATAGTTTTTGACAAGGAAATAAACTTCTGACAAAGTTAAACAGACTAAGTCCCAAATAGAATCTATAGTACAATTCCATTTTAGTAAACAAACAAACCCAAAGCATTTATGTGCATAGGAAAATGGCCTGGAACGGGTATGCCAAGATGAGAACAGCGTTTCTCTCTGAGTGGAAAACTTGTGTGTGTTTTGTTGTTGTTGTTAGTTTTTGGTTTATTTGAACAAAGAGTGATATATTATTTTGTACTTTTAACAAGTACTGTTTTCTTTTTGATGCCATTATTACTCATTTGCTTTCAATGAAGCTGATAAGTATGAGGAATGTTTTTGCATTTACAGCCTAATAAGTGATCTGATAAGCTTTAGGGACATCTCAGATGCCAACCCATGTGTAGAACACTTGACATAATTGTGCCAAGCTATGCAGAGTAAGGGCTTTCTTCATCCCAGATACCTCTGTTCTAACCAAATGAAGACTCTAATAGGGTTATCTACTAGACCCGTGCTAACCTAATGAATTCATGCCAAGATTCTTTTGAATTATAAAAATTCTAAAATAATAATTGATTCTATTCCAAAGGGATACTTATTTTTTTAAGTAAGCAAATGAGCATATGAAAACTATTTGATTTCCAATTTTATAATTTCATGACTTAGAAGGGTACTTAGTGTTTGTAATGAAAAAGAATTACTAATTCAACAAATATTTATTGATTATTTGCCTACTATGTGTCAGGACCTCTTCTAGGCCTGGAACACAGTTGTAAAGAATATAGATAAGTGCTTTGGCCTCATTAAACCCATACTGGAGGGTGTGGCAGAGGTATATTATAAATGTGCACACAAACTTTCTAAAGTTAGAGAATTTTATAGAAATTAAAATAAATAATGGCTTGGAGTGAGGAATGGGGTAGGGCATTTTACTTAGAGACGTCTTCTCTGAGAAGGTGACATTTGCTCTAAGATCTCAGAGATGGAAAGGAACCAGAGGCGTGAAAGTCTGAGGATTTCCATGTAGCAAATATTCATTTGCCTTAAGTTGGTATAAGAGCTTGTCCTATTCAAGAGATAGAATAGAAGCCAACTGTTTAGAAGTTAATAAGTTAGGAGGATCATTGATATTGCTAATGGGCCATATCATGGAAAGCTTCATAGGACATAGCAAGGAGTTTGGCTTTGATCTAATTGGTGACTATCAAAGAGCTTTAGACAGGTAAGTGAGAGGGATCGATTTTAACTTTTTGAACAGATATCTTACTGCTTGTTTGAGGAATGAACTCTGACGCAGAGGAGTAGATACAGTGAAGAGGCTATTGCAGTAGTTGAGGTGAACCCGTAGCCTGGTGTGGCAGCAGAATGGCGAGATGCAGTTTGATTAAGTGTGTCTAGTGGATGAGTTGACTCAACTTGCTGAAAGTTTGGCTATAGGGCAATTCAGTCAGCAGAATATCTACTCTGGGAGACTAGGGACAGTGGAACAACTGGAAATTTTATTCTCTGGGAAATCTTCTGTTGTTAAGTGATTTGGAAATTAGAAGAGTCTGGTACATTTATTGATCACTTTACTACTTTTTCTGTATCCATCAGACTTTATGAGCATTTTTGCCTATGATAGGAATAGGGCTGGGCTTTGCTTGTTTGTACATAAAATCTGTAGAGAAGGTATTGCAGAATACCTAAGTTCTATGAATTCCTATTTCCCATGGAATTTGGATGGTTAAACAATGAAATGGGGGAATTCCATCTTTTTAAATTTAGACTGAAGATCAACATGACTTTGTGCCATCATTAGTGCAAAGCAAAGATCCTCAAACACTTGTGTACATTCGCTCTCCTGGGGGTTTTGTTAAAATGCAGATTCTGATTCCGTAGATTTGAGCTGGGGCCTGATACTATGTTTTCTACTAAGTTCTGAAGTGATGCTGATGCTGTGGGTCCAGGAAGCCCTCTTTGAGTAGCGAAGGTCTTGCCAATATTATTGAATATTGGTTATGGACGCATGCCAGAGGTCCTCCCCATGTGCTTGAAGAATGGCAACTTTGGGCACTTCCTTCATTTGTCCTCAGGAAATTTGCTTTTGGTTAAATGAACAACGGGGTCAAACAAGTTATTTCTGAGACTCTAACTCAATGAGAAGCTAGGGGAAACGGAAGGGTAGAAAGAGCCTGGGGTTTGCAGTACACGATCTGACTTTGTCTTGGCTCTACCACTGCCCTGTTGATCTTGGACAAGTCACTGCATGCCTGACTCTGTTTCTCTTCAGGGTAAAATGGTGATAAAATTGTCTCTCTTGCCATGAGAGAGAGAGAGAGACATACGGGATTACTTTGTAAACTGCTGAGCACCCCATCCTCAGTGTCAGTATCCCCAACGCTGTGCCTACAGGGACCACTGGTTTTGTGGGCCTATCTTTGCGAGTGTTGTTGCTGAATTTGGGGCAGAGGCCTATGAATTCACTGGTAAAACAGAAATGAACTGAAATCCATTTTCTCTTTTTTTCTCCCCCCCACCCCACCTCCATTGCAGCGATTGAAACCCAGAGCACCAGCTCTGAGGAACTCGTCCCGAGCCCACCGTCTCCACTCCCTCCCCCTCGCGTGTACAAACCCTGCTTCGTCTGCCAGGACAAATCATCCGGGTACCACTATGGGGTCAGCGCCTGCGAGGGCTGCAAGGTGAGTTCCCAGGGCTCTGTGCCTGGCGCGCTCTCATTCTCCACGTGCTCCGTGGCCGTGACCTCCCAGCTCCAGAAACGGGCTGCTTTGCCATCCGTAACATCACCTTCAATCAGTGCGGTGGCCTCGGTCGCCTTTAATGGTCTCAGTTCCTTCCTTATATCTCATTAGTTAAAAATTCAGAAACGTCCGCAAATGACGGATGGGGGCCACGTGTTCTTGGGCCCTTGAAATAACACATAACAGCCCTTTTCAGGTAATCAGAGCCTTTTGAAGGAGTTCTGAAAAGCACACTCCTGTTTCTCTTTAAAACGTGCCGTCTGGTGTCTCTGTTAGTTTTATTTTATTTTTAAATATGACTGACAGGCCACTGAATCAACTTGCAGAGAATCCAAGGTTGAAATTGGGATTTATCTTCTGGCTGTTTCCTCAGCCCCGTGGCCTTTGAATTACAGTTTGATTTTCAGCCTGTAGGGACTTGCTACTGTGCGTGTGTCATAAATTCAGGGGGACTGGATTTAAAATTCCAGCCTCCAGAGTGGTGGAGGCTGAACATGTGTCAGGGAGGATATGGCTGCTTTGAATCAAGCTAGACAATTGTTATCGAGTCCAACAGGCTTAATTGAGTGAAAGAGCTTTTTTTGAGAGAGAGAGAGAGAAAAGAAACAAAGAATGACTTCACAGGCAAATCCAACTCATCCGTAGACAGTTTTTCAAAGGAACTGTGACTTTCTTGAGGCAGCCCTTCCCTAGATAGACAGCCTCTTTGTGTTCTCTCCGATGGGTGTTCAGGTCTGTGGTTTACACACCTATATTGCATGATTCATTGGTAATGGTAAACAGGTTGGAATAATCTCACAGGTGCTCCCATCAAGTGCTTTATGGCATTTTGTTTGTCGGAGTTAGCACTTGTTGTTCCTGTGTGTATTGGTTAGGCACTATTGTGCAACAAACCATCCTAAAACCGAATGGCTTAAGACAATAACTTTTTATTTAGCCTACAATTCTCTGCGTCAGCACTTTAGGCCAGGCTCCTCGGGGTACTTTGTGTATCCACTGTGTATCTCTGGTCAGCTGCAGATTGGCGAGGGGGCCGGGGACCCTCCGCTCAGTTCTCCTCCATGTGGCCTCTCATTTCCATTGGGCTGGCCCTGGCCATTCACATAGGCAGGGTTCCAGAAGAGAGAACAGGAGCACACAGGTCTCTGAAGGCCTAGGCTCTGCCACACCCTCATTAGTCAACAGAGCCAAATATCAACAGTACAACGATTGAAATTTCTTTTGAGAGCCAAATTTTTTAAACTTAAACTATATAGGAAGGTACATTGTTATTAACTTAATTAGGGTACTCCTAAGGCTTAGGAAGAGCCACACTCAAGGGGCCAAAGAGCCGCATGTGGCTCGC